TATGCATAAAGTCAGTGCCCAACTGTTATAGGTTGTTGGATAAATCAGTGGTTATTTAGGGAACTGCTTGACGCAGGAACGGTAAATTTCTGTGGGAGAATTCTTATGTGTTCTCTTTGCTTTAAGTGTGACTGGCAGTTTTCCATTGGTTTACCTGTGAAATAGTTCAAAGCCAAGTTTATATACAATTATATCAGTCCTCTTTCAAAGGTAGCCAGCATGCATCTGGTAGGGGGAAAATGTTGTGTATTTTATTACATCTTTCACATTGGCTATTTAAAGACAAAGACAAATTCTCTCTCTTGAGAGAATATTAGCTTTACTGTTGTTATGGCTTAATGACACTGGCTAGTATCAATTGAAGGATGTACATTTCCAAATTCACAAGTTGTGTTTGAATACATTCTGCTTTCATCTTGGTCACATACAATTATTTTTACAGTTCTACCAAGGGAATTAGGCTATTCACAACCACTCATTCAAAAGTTGAAATTAATCATAGATGTAGATAAACTCAGAAATTTAATTCATGTTTCTTAAATGGGCTACTTTGTCTTTTTTGTAATTAGGGTGGTGTTTAGTCTATTAGCCACAAAATTGGGAAAGGAGTAGAAAAAGTAGTAACTGACAACTTGAATCATTGACCAGAGATAATATGAGAATCATATCATTTCAAAACTCATTTCCTATGTAACTGCATTGAGAACTGCATGTATTTTGCTGATATATGTGTTTTTCTGACAATTACATTTGTGAATGGTTCCATTATCTTTCCTGTGCTTTTTCCAGACCCTTTTTTGAATGGATGATGTTTTGTGAAGTATACTGTATTTTTTACCTTTTTCCTTCCTAATCACTGACACAAAAAGAGATGGGTTTGACAAGGTTCTTCCCTTTCACATACTGCTGTCTATGTGGCTGTACCTTGTTTTTCCACTGTTGCTACCACAACTCTATTATCGTGCAAATGCTGTATTTTTCTTTGGCGGAGATAAAGTTTTCTTGAGTTTTGTTTTAAAATTAAAGCTAAAGTATCTGTATTGCATTAAATATAATATGCACACAGTGCTTTCCGTGGTACTGCACACAATCTGAGACCTCCTCTCTCAGTTTTTATGTAGATGGTGAGAACCTAAGTTTCAGTTGCCTTTCACATTGAAATGACTAAAAAACAAAGACAACATTAAAACAATATTGTTTCTAATTGCTGAGGTTTAGCTGTCAGTTCTTTTTGCCCTTTGGGAATTTGGCATGGTTTCATTTTACTTTACTAGCCAAGAGACTTTACTCTTAAGAAGTATTAAAATTCTAAAATTCTGGCCGGGCGCGGTGGCTCAAGCCTGTAATCCCAGCACTTTGGGAGGCCGAGACGGGCGGATCACGAGGTCAGGAGATCGAGACCAGCCTGGCTAACATGGTGAAACCCCGTCTCTACTAAATACAAAAAAACTAGCCAGGCGAGGTGGCGGGCGCCTGTAGTCCCAGCTACTCGGGAGGCTGAGGCAGGAGAATGGCGTAAACCCGGGAGGCGGAGCTTGCAGTGAGCTGAGATCCGGCCACTGCACTCCAGCCTGGGCCACAGAGCCAGACTCCCTCTCAAAAAAAAAAAAAAATTCTAAAATTCTGTTAATCTCTTATTAATAATATTTAATATAAATATTCTTAAAATTACTGACATTATGAATTAGTTTGATGCTTTTCTCATGTACCTCAATCCTTATTTTAAAATAAGATTAATAACACTCTTTTCCTAAATGTTGTCCTTACCTGCCCTACGCATATTCAGAATTGCTATGGCAGATTAAGATATGTCAATGGAAGAGGTCAGAGGAGTAATATTATTGGAAAGAGCTGTAATAGGTACCATAAAAAGCAAACAAACAAACAAAAGTACTTTGGTTCTTTGCGACCACAGCTGTCTCCAAATATACAAATGATTCAGCACTTATTTTAAAATGAATCTGGGTATTGCTAATACCCCCAAATTAGCAGTTTTTAATTTTAAAATACATGAGAAATGGGATTTTGTCTTGTCTCCAAAGCAGTCATCTAAAATCTATACCCCCATGATTAGATGAGTTATTACTGAGAAGTTATTGTACCCACACAAAAAGCTGCCATTTTTTCCCAAAGATGTCGAAAGCTAGAAAGCCAGGCCTTCTCAAAGTAAAATACACTGTGTACTGGGGAAAAAAAGGGTAAGAAGAGGCATAATCACCAAGTTAGACATAGTCTGGCAAATTGTATTTAGCTATTATCATGGAACAGTGTTATTCCCTGATAATGCTGGCATCATAATCAGAATGATTATTCTCATCTCCATATCTGTTGTTATTTACATCTAGGAAATACACAGGTTATTTATAGTGAACACTGAGAGTGGTCTCTCTCCAAGGAGTAAAGTAAATATGCCCTGGCTAACTAGTGTAAGTTTGTATTCTTACCTAATTAACCATTATAAGAAGTCATTGAGTAGATCCTAACTTAAGGAATATTTGTGTGTTTGAGTATTTCTCGTGTGGTGTTTGTAAGTTTGAAAAGTGTTTTATAAGCATAGAGCTTATGTGTGCTACTGAGGACAAATGTCTAATTTTAAAGGAAAGAGGGTTTTCTGAGATGGCATGAAATGAGTGAAATCTATTTATTTCCTGAAAGCTGAAGTGGAATATGAAGGCAAGTCTTTCTGAACAGAGCAGTCCTGTCACTGACTAACCCAGGGAAAGGACAGGAAAAAGCTAGAAAGTGTTTTGAAAATTATTTTACTTACCTTTTGAATTGGGACATTAACATAGTAAGGACCATTTATGTGAGTGGCTTCCTTTGGTTAGTTATGATTCATTCATTAATTAATTTATCAAATTTATATAGAGCACCTGCCATGAGCCAGGCATTATACTAGATGTTTGGGAAACATGGGTAAACAAAAGCAAAGATCCCTGCTTTTATGGAACTGAAGATGTTCTGAGACACCGGATCGTACATTCTAGTGCAATCACCTTATTAAAACAAGGTTTTATGATACAAACAGCCAGAAGCTACAAATAATGTAAATGTTATATTTAAAAAATACAATTTCAAAGAAATGACATTTAAACCAGTTTTAGGAAAGCTGAAGAGAAACAATATTGTTTTTAGAGCTTTTTGAGATGAGCTTTTATCTCTCTTAAATGATAATCCTCAGCTTCCAAGTTTTCGTGAACTCACTTTGGGTTTTGTGTTTGCCATACTCACTAAGAAATTAAATACTTTGCTTGATTTATTGTAAAAAGGAAAAAAACAACAACAGAGGCAGGCTTAAGCAGTCTTAAACTTATTTATTAATGTTATCTTGAGTCTACAGAGAACATAAAGCTTTCTAAGAGGTAGAAAGCTGTCAAATACCTATTATCAAACTCTGAATTCTCCTATAATATTTTGTAAAGCTATTATAACACCTTAATACCTATGTCTGTTTGTAGCCTTTCCACATTTCTTATACATAATTGAAACAGTCTTGATATTCTTTTGCCATTGGGACTGCTTGTCAGACACACTTCATAGCAGCCTTTTTACTGGCTATTTGGAAAGGAAGCAAGGGGTACAGTGGGGGCACACACAGGCCTGGAGTCTGGTTCATTCTCCAGAATAGAAATAAATGCCCCTAGTCTCTGCCTTTAATACCTTCTGTCCAGTTGTTTTACTGTATCTCATGCCTCCTTTTTAAAAAACTGCCTTTTCTAATCTTTTCCATTGCCAAACACATATAATCTAGTGAATCACATCATTTCCTTGCATAACTGTAAGATTATCCTTTCCCAAAAAGCCTTTTTATAAGTGCCACCTAACACATTCATGGGCTGCTTCCCTCGGCCATCTGGTGTATGATTTATGAATTTACTCATTTTACTATGAAGATTAGCAAGTAAAATTAGGAAGGTTACCCCAACTCCTAAAAAAGTCCTACAAAAATAAAATGATCTTGTATCAAGAATAAAAATAACTATTCACTGTTTAGGATTATTCACACATTTGTTGCGCCTGCACTGATGTCCTGCTCCTATCCATGGATGTATATATGTATAGCTGAAGTTAACTATGTGTTGCAGGACTTTCTGTTGTAGCATTTATGCCTCTTTCTAAAACTCCACAGAGGAGAGGCCTTAGCTAATAGGAGATAGTGCATATGAATAAGCTAATATGCATATTCTATCCATACCTGGGCATAATCAGTGTTGTGGAACATAGAACAACAGCCCAGGACTAAGAGTTCTGTATCACAGCCCACTCTTGGGTCTCAGCTTCATCTATAAAAGAGTGAGTTAGATTAGAGAATTTCTGATGTCTCTTCTAATCATTGTGGTAACCCCACTTGTCACCTTGCATAGTACCTGGCTCATCGCAGTTCTAAAATGCCGGTAATGCAGTGACTCTTCTAGCAAAGTAACTTACTTTGTGACAGATAACGTTGATAAATGAAAATGTAACAGTCATGGCATTCATGTACTTTCTCTATGGTTGGAAAACTATACACTAACCCCTGGCCTGAAAGGAAAGAGTGCTCTGAAGACGGGGGATTTCTGGCATTGGAAGCGAATGCTATTCTCACACAGAATAAATTAGGAGCTGAGGTTTACTGGCTGGTCACACTCAGATTCTAGTGTGGCAGTACTAGGTTCAACTCTCTAAATAAATTTTAAGGCTTTGTGAAAATAACCTCTCCTCTCATTCAAGGGTATGTTTAATGGTTCCATTCAATAAGTATTTACTGAGCACTTCCTAACTGTAAAAGGATAGTGTTTGCATTTAGGGGACTAGAGACATGCCTGCATATCCCTCACCTTCAAAGATGAACTACACACAGGATTCTTGTCCTAGTCATTGTGGTAACCCCATCTGACACCTTGCCACCTAGCTTTATAGCAGGCATTAGAAATGGATTGGAACCCAACCAGACATGGTCTGTATGCTCAGTGGAGTTCCTGGCTCTTAAATGTTTTAAGAAAATTCATTTTTTCACACAGTTTTTTTTGATACATATATTTATTATGCTGTAAAAAGCAACACTACCTGATTGCATTTAAAATAAATGTTTCCCAATTTCAGAATACTTACAACTTGTAGTTTTAAGATTAGATTCACTTTGGGAGGTTTTAGAAGCAAATACATTCATAGCTGTATAATCCCCAGGAAGAATCTAAATCTGACATCAGGTCATTCAGTCCCTGCCAGACAGACAACAGCATAAAATGGTCAATAGCTAATCCAGCTCTGCAGCTAAAGGGCAGTGTCGGGCAGCAGTGGGGTATAGCTTATTACCAAAGATGAGACCAGCAAAAACAACAATGTATATAAAGCTATAACATGACCATATAGAGCTCTCATGATACAGAAAAAGCACATATGAAACTAAAGCCAAAACAAAAAGATCTTTGGAGTTTACTGACGGCAGCAGTTAATAGCACAGTCAACAGCATTTAAATCAAATATATTATTACCAGCCAACAGCAAACAGCCCGAGCAGGAATCGGCACATAGTCATAAATAACATCAGGGGTAAATAAGGGCACATTTAATTAAACAACAAAGATTTTACAGAATGGTTTTGATCTGAAAAAAGATGAAAACTCTCTTTGTTCCCAAATAATGGTTAGAACCTCTTTTTATTATAGAAAAGCCTCAAAATCATTGGTAATCTTGAAGTCACAAATTGAACTGTCTTAATGTTTCATTTCAGTCACACAAAGCATGCTGCTGTTTGAGCAAAGTTATCTCAATTGATTTCAATTAAAACGTGTCTACCCTGTAATATCTTTGGGGATAATGCTGCTCCTGTGCAGCATCTTGCAAATGCTACCTGTCTCCATGGCTTGACAGATCCATGGGATAGGAAACTGCTCACTCACCATCCTCCCCATGGAAGCTCAAGCATGGGAACAGCTTTGGGCCTGGTGCAGCTAAGGAACATTGGCCATGGTTTCACCAAAGGAGGTGCCATCTAGGTAATGGGAGGGCAGTGGCTGGAGCCACTGGCTTAGACTGGAAGTGAAAATGAACGCACCTGGAGGCTGCTGGAGTAAGGTGCCATCAGGCATGGTAAAGCTTAGAAGCAGCAGTGTGTGCTCATAGGAAGAAAAAAAGGAAAAGGAAATTGCTGTATGTGGCAACAACTAACATTCATGTACTTGAGCTCATTTCACTAAACACAGCTTCAGAGAAGTCCATTTGTGTGCATGTGTGTGTGTGCTTAATATCAGAAATCCTCACTAACATGCCTCTTTATCTCGAGGTATGACAGGATAAAATGTATGTGTAATTCCTAGAAAATCCTGTTCTATCAGTTTTTTGAAGCCCCTTTTACCCACTTTCCAAATGAATCCTGAATTACCAACCCAAGACAAAGAAAATTATAGGTCACAATTTAAAATGAAATGGCCTTTTTCTTATTATTAAACTACAGAGCCCACCAAGAATTACACAATAGAAAATCACAAGAAATCTGGAATGATCCAATGGTCCCCCAAGGAGGACAAATCTCTTGGTGCAGACTCTTAATGACAGGCTTGGAAACAAATGTTAGTTGTAGCAGTTCCCATACTTTCAGAATAACTTTGGTAGCTTAGAGCATTTCTGAATTTATCTTTACCCTAGAAGCTAAAAAAATATCTTCTTAAAGAGCTGCGGTTGCACATCCCTTCGTTTTTTAGACTGGTAAACTTGACTAATTTATACTTAGTAATTTTGTCTCTGGTTCGTCTTCTGTAGACAAATGGCAAAGTTCTGATGCCAGAAATAGGAGGCATTTTCTGACTTACTATGGAAAACATAAAAACTGCATAGTATGCCAGCACTCACTTTCCCAGCTGAAGGAAAGAGGCAGAGAGCTAAATGTCTGAGAAGAGAGGCTGGACTAAGGGGATATAGAAAAAGGAAAAATTTTCAAAAGTATTATAACTACATTCACACATATGTTTTGGTCACCAAACATATCCTTAAACAGATTCCCTGATAAAGTCTAATCAGAATTGGTCTATCTTACTAACAGTTGTTAACTATTATAGTTTTTTTAAGAGTCACATCGTGAAGCTAGGGTGAGAGAGAGACACTTTAAACACACAACCATAAGTGCATATAGTTGTTCAAACACTCAAACTAAATTTGTATTTGAAGTCTTGAAAATCACACTATTTGCTTCTAAAGGCAACCTTGACCCATTTGGACAGACTGTACAACAGAGCTTAATTTATAAATGCATATCAGCAGATCATCACCATAAATTGAAAATTCACAAAACACAAATAAATCATGGAAGACCACACAATTAAGCTAGCATTGGTAACTATTTCTTTTACATCAAATTATACAATGCACGAGGTAATATTGCTCACATTATGGAGGGAGACTGTTTTATTTCTATTTTTTCCCAAAGAGATCAGATTTGTCCTGTGCGCACAATGAAGAAAACTCCAGTAACACTGAAATGACAAATGTAAAATATACATCACTACCAGATAGAAATACACACGGTCTTCATAATCATTTTCCACAATTAAATAGGTAAGTGATTTAAATCTTGGGATTTGAGACCATTACAACAATCCATCAAGATTCTTATGGACGGTTTGATTTTCCTTCCCGTTGTCAGAATCTCCTTGAGGTGTGTACTGGACTTGGTATTCTTGGAGAATTTTAAATACATCATGGTGTCCAAAGTGCAGTGCTTCATCCATGGGAGTGTTATTCCACCTAAACACGTAGCACAGCATGGACAGGGTCATTAGGTAATTTCTGTACAAAGATGATCACCCCACATTCCCAGATTTTAAGTGCAGGTTAAATGGCCATTTTAGCAATTTTACAAATAAAAATTAATAATAGAAATGCAGAAAGGGATTTATAATTCAAAAAGTAGTCTCCAAAACAAGTTGGGATATGGAGAGGAAGAGAGAAAGATCTGTGAAAGGATCTTGTTTACACATCCAAGTGCTTATGCAGGGAGCTTTTTAAGGAAAGTCCTTGTGTTGACAGATATAATAGACTGCTCTAGGGTTCCAGAATTTTAGCTTCATGAAAAGCCCAAAGTCTCTCTTTTAAAATAAAATGTTCAAAGAAAATTCAGGTATATAACATCCATCACTCTAGCCTTTGACAGAAAATTTGTGTTTATGTCAATTCAAAGCCACAGTAAGTCTCAGAAGTCTAGAAATAACCATGACCCCATTAGGGCCAAAAACACATTGGAGGAGCAAGATTGGCCCCAGAGGAATTGACATTTTTATCACCTCTGGTAAGGTTGGGAACCCATGGACTCAATCAGACCACTACACCAGCAGAAGAACAATTCCCCTTTCCATACTAATAACTCCCCTTTCCATGCTTCTGGGGTTGTGCTGTTTAGAGTGATGTTGATGAAAATTCAAGGATACGAAAAAATGAAGAGTTGCCAGAAGTGGTAAGTCTTTTGCAAGAGGAGACAGAAGAACTACATAACTCACAGCCCTAGTCAGTGACAGGGTATGATAGGTAGTTCCCTTACACTTTACAAACTGTGAAGCCTGACTTCCTACCCTCTCTCTCTACTTACGTTACAAAATTCTCCATGGCTGCTAATCTCTCTTTCTTCATCCATGTGCCACTGTCACCACCTTCCTAGTTTCACTTCTTCCTGTTTCCTTCTTTCCTTTCCATCTCTGTCCTGAACTTTTTACCCGCTTAGTGGAGTCACAATATGGAAACAAAAGGTTTTTAAAACAGTCTCATTTTGTAATATATTTGGGTAAATTTTGGTAGCCTGTTTTTAAAATCAGGTAAGTAAAACTTTACATGTATCTTTGTATTTCTCAAAAAAACAAAACAAAACAAAACAAAAAAACCAGCTGAATGAAGTGACTTTGAATAGGCCTTCATTAGTTTAGGAAGTCAGTGGCTTGAAAGAGACTTTTGAGTCATCCTCTATAGTATGTAATTATCTGTCTTTCTGGAAAAATGGAATGTCAACTGCGTGTTACCTTTTTTACAACTCTTCTGTGAAATAATGAAAAATATAAACGTTAAAGAATACACTAATTTCAGCCAGGCACAGTGGCTCATGCCTGCAATCCTATCACTTTGGGAGGCCGAGGTGGGCGCATCACTTGAGGCCAGGAGTTCAAGACCATAATGGCCAACATGGCAAAACCCCTCTCTACTAAAAATACAAAAATTAGCTAGGCGTGGTGGCACACGCCTGTAATCCCAGCTACTCAAGTGGCTAAGGCAGGAGAATTGCTTGAACCTGGGAGGCGGAGGTTGCAGTGAATGAGATCACGCCACTGCCCTCCAGCCTGGGTGACAGAGCAAGACTCTGTCTCAAGAATACCCAAATTTTGCTCAAACCTATTTTATAATTTAAGGTGATACTGATTCTATGAAATAGAGAAAAAGACTTGCTGAATGCCTAGTTATCAAGTTACTTAGCTCACTTTTTCTTATCAGATGGGTACATCTACTTTAATATTCCTAGAGGCCAATTTAGGGCAAAAAAAAAAAATACATATACAGAGCACAGTAATATTTCCAACATGTATTACATAGTGTTTTAGTTGGGATTATAAACGCAGGAGGAAAATGCTCTTCAATTTCTTGCTCTAGAAAACTGGGATGGGTATTAAAATTTGGGGAAAGGGAAGAATGTCACCCTAACATGAGGTTTTAGAATACTGCCAATAAAGGTCATTTTAATCATGGTGCTTTTTTACAACTACAGGAATAAAGTTAGATAACCAAAGTGTTAGCACACTTACAAAATTGCTAACATTTGTCAGACACTGACATAAGTTTTCTGCATTTCTTGCAAGCTAAGAGCTGAACCAACAAAACCCAAGCCCTAATTTTAAAAAAGATAGTTGGCCAGGCTCAATGGCTCACGTCTGTAATCCCAACACTTTGGGAGGCTGAGGTGGGAGGGCTGCTTGAACCCAGGAGTTAGAGACCAGCCTGGGCAACATAGTAAGACTCTGTCTCTACAAAAAAACAAAAAAAAAATTAGCCAGGCATGGTGGCGTGTGCCTGTGATTGCAGGTATTCAGGAGGTTGAGGTGGGAGGATCGCTTGAGCCTAGGAAGTTAAGGCTGCAGCAAACTATTATCATGCCACTTGCACTTCAGCCTGAGTGGCAAGGCAAGACCCAGTCTCAAAAAAAAAAAAAAAAAAAAAAAAAAGAGTTAAAGCTTAATAAACAGAAAGGCAAAATAGCTAAAGTGTAATCAACTTGCTCCAAACTTAATACAGCTCCTGGTTCTCAAATGAATCCAAACTCCTAATACATATCAAACCACCATCAAGTGTGTTTTTTATCCCATTCTAAACTTTTATTCTCATTACTCGCTGATTCATCCACACCAGTACATAATTTCCAAGGATATGAATCTAGAGTTTACTGTACATGTGTATGTGTAAGCTGCGTTCTTATCCCTTCCCTGACCACTTTGTTGACAGCATTTGCTGCAGGATGAATAGCAGTTTGCTATGTCGACCAGGAGGGAAAGAGGAGGAACAGAAGGTATTCTAGGCATATTTTTCCCATGACAGATAGAATGCCCTTCTTTTCATTCCGTGCGTTCAATCTCATCTCTTCCCCGAAGCACTGATTAAAATTTAACTTCCATGAAGCCTTCCCAAAACTGATTCCAACCAAATGCAGAAATTTCAACAAACTCCAATATATTCATTTAGAGTTAACAAGTTTTCTTACACATTTTAGCTTGTTTAGAAGCCTTCCCATTTTGTATGTCTCAATATTGTGAGCAAGTTTGTATGCTGATAAAATTCACATTATTATTAAAAACAAAATCTGGCTGCATAAATGTTGAATCACTGTCCTCACCAATCACTGGCTTCTTTGCAAATCTTAAGAGAGAACATTCAGTGTTAATTATCATCTTAAAATTTATGCTTCTCTAAAGGTTTATCTTATCTACCCCGTGTTGTTAAAAACCCCATGAGGGGGCTGGGCGCGGTGGCTCACGCTTGTAATCCCAGCACTTTGGGAGGCCGAGGCAGGTGGATCACCTGAGGTCGGGAGTTCAAGACCAGCCTGACCAACATGGAGAAACCCCGTCTCTACTAAAAATACAAAATTAGCCGGGGTGGTGGCACATGCCTGTAATCCCAGCTACTTGGGAGGCTGAGGCAGGAGAATCGCTTGAACTCGGGAGGTGGAGGTTGCGGTGAGCCGAGATCGCGCCATTGCACTCCAGCCTGGGCAAAAAGAGTGAAACTCTGTCTCAAAAAAAAAAAAAAAAAAAAAAAAAACCCCATGAGGGGTACCAACAACTGCAAAAACATACAAAATTGTAAAGACCATCAACACTATGAAGAAACTGCATCAACTAAAGGGCAAAATAACCAGCTAGCATCATAATGACAGGATCAAATTCACACATAACGATATTAGCCTTAAATATAAATGGGCTAAATGTCCCAATTAAAAGACACAGAATGACATTGGTCTGCCATATTCAGGAGACCCATCTCATGTGCAAAGACACACATAGGTTCAAAATAAAGGGATGGAGGAATATTTACCAAGCAAATGGGAAGCAAAAAAAAAAGCAGGGTTACAATCCTAGTCTCTGATAAAACAGACTTTAAACCAACAAAGATCAAAAGAGACAAAGAAGGCCATTACATAATGGTAAAGGGATCAATGCAACAAGAAGAGCTAACTGTCCTAAATATATATGTATCCAATACAGGAGCAACCAGGTTCATAAAGCAAGTTCTTAGAGACCTACAAAGAGACTCAGACTCCCACACAATAATAGTGGGAGACTTTAACACCCCACTGTCAATATTAGATCAACGAGACAGAAAATTAACAAGGATATTCAGGACTTGAACTCAGCTCTGGACCAAGCGGACCTAATAGACATCTACAGAACTCTCCACCCCAAATCAATAAAATATACATTCTTCTCAGCACCACATCGTACTTATTCTAAAATTTGACTACATAATTGGAAGTAAAACGCTCCTCAGCAAATGCAAAAGAACAAAAATCATAACAAACAGCCTTTCAGACCACAGTGCAAGCAAATTAGAACTCAGGATTAAGAAACTCACTCAAAACCACACAACTACATGAAAACTGAATAACCTGCTCCTAAATGACTACTGGGCAAATAACGAAATGAAGGCAGAAATAAGTAAGTTATTTGAAACCAATGAGACAAAGACACAACGTACTAGAATCTCTGGGACACAGCTAAAGCAGTGTTTTAGAGGGAAATTTATAGCACTAAATGCCCACAAGAGTAAGCAGGAAAGATCTAAAATTGACACCCTAACATCACAATTAAAAGCTAGAGAAACAAAAGCAAACAAATTCAAAAGCTAGCAGAAGACAAGAAATAACTAAGAGCAGGCCGGGCGCGGTGGTTCACGCCTGTAATCCCAGCACTTTGGGAGGCCGAGGTGGGCGGATCACAAGGTCAGGAGATTGAGACCACGGTGAAACCCCGTCTCTACTAAAAATACAAAAAATTAGCCGGACGCGGTGGCAGGCGCCTGTAGTCCCAGCTACTCAGGAGGCTGAGGCAGGAGAATGGCGTGAACCCGGGAGGCGGAGCTTGCAGTGAGCCAAGATCGCGCCACTGCCTGGGCGACAGCGCGAGACTCCGTCTCAAAAAAAAAAAAAAAAAAGAAATAACTAAGAGCAGAACTGAAGAGATAGAGACACGAAAAACCCTTTAAAAAATCAATGAATCTAGGAGCTGGTTTTTTGAAAAGATCAACAAATTAGATAGACTGCTAGCAAGACTAATAAAGAAGAAAGAAGAATCAAATAGACACAATAAAAAATGATAAAGGGGATATCACCACTGATCCCACAGAAATACAAACTACCACCAGAGAATACCATAAACACCTCTATGCAAATAAACCAGAAAATCTAGAAGAAATGGATAAACTCCTGGACACATACACCCTCCCAAGTCTAAACCAGGAAGAAGTCAAATCCCTGAATAGACCAATAATAATTTCTGAAATGGAGGCAGTAATTAATAGTCTACCAACCGAAAAAAGTCCAGGACCAGATGGATTCACAGCCAAATTCTACCAGAGGTACAAAGAGAAGCTAGTACCATTCCTTCTGAATCTATTCCAAAAAATAGAAAAAGAAGGAATCCTCCTTAACTCCTTTTATGAGGCCACCATCATCTTGATACCAAAACCTGGCAGAGACACAACAAAAAAAAAGAAAATTTCAGGTCAATATCCCTGATGAACATTGATGCGAAAATCCTCAATAAAATACTGGTAAACTGAATCCAGCAGCACATTGAAAAGCTTATCTACCACGATCAAGCTGGCTTCCTCCCTGGGATGCAAGGCTGGTTCAACATATGCAAATCAATAAACGTAATCCATCACATAAACAGAACCAATGAGAAAAACCACGATTATCTCAATAGATGCAGAAAACGCCTTCGACAAAATTCAACACGCCTTCATGCTAAAAACTCTCAACAAACTAGGTATTGATGGAACGTATCTGAAAATAGTAAGAGCTATTTATGACAAACCCACAGCCAATATCATACTGAATGGGCGACAGACTGGAAGCATTCCCTTTGAAAACCAGCACAAGACAAAGATGCCCTCTGTGACCACTCCTATTCAACACAGTATTGGAAGTTCTGGCGAGGGCAATCAGACAAGAGAAAGAAATAAAGGGGCCAGGTGCAGTGGCTCATGCCTGTAATCCCAGCACTTTGGGAGGCCAAGGTGGGCAGATTACCTGAGGTCAGGAGTTCGAGATCAGCCTGGCCAACATGGTGAAACCCCGTCTCTACTAAAAATACAAAAATTAGCTAGCCATGGTGGACGCCCACCTGTAATCCCAGCTACTCAGGAGGCTGAGGCAGGAGAATTGCTTGAGCCTGGGAGATGGAGGTTGCAGTGAGCTGAGATTTTGCCACTGTACTCCAGCCTAGCTGACAGAGCGAGACTCTGTCTCAAAAAAAAAAAAAAAGAAAAGAAAAGAAAAAAAGAAAAAAGAAAGGTATTCAAATAGGAAGAGAGGAAGTCAAACTGTCTCTGTTTGCAGATGACATGATTGTATATTTAGAAAACCCCATTGTCTCAGCCCCAAATCTCCTTAAGTTGATAAGCAACTTCAGCAAAGTCTCAATATACAAAATCAATGAGCAAAAATCACAAGCATTCCTATACACCAATAATAGACAGAGAGCCAAATCATGAGTGAACTCCTATTCACAACTGCTACAAAGAGAATAAAATACCTAGGAATCCAACTGACAAGGGATGTGAAGGACCTCTTCAAGGAGAACTACAAACCACTGCTGAAGGAAATAAAGAGAGGACACAAACAAATGGAAAAAACATTCCATCCTCATGGATAGGAAGAATCAATATAGTGAAAATGGCCACACACCAAAAGTAATTCATAGATTCTATGCTATCCCCATCAAGCTACCATGGACTTTCTTCACAGAATTAGAAAAAAATACTTTAAATTTCATATGGAACCAAAGAAGAGCCCACATAGCCAAAACGATCTTACGCAAAAAGAAGAAAGCTGAAGGCATCACGCTACCAGACTTCAAACTATATTATAAGGCTACAGTAACCAAAACAGTATGGTGCTGATACCAAAACAGATATATAGACCAGTGGAAAAGAAATGAGGCCTCAGAAATAACGGCACACATCTACAACCATCTGATCTTTGACAAACCTGACAAAAACAAGCAATTGGGAAAGGTGTTGGGAAAACTGGCTAGCCATATGCAGAAAACAACCTGGACCCCTTCCGTACACCTTATACAAAAATTAACTCAAGATGGATGAAAGACTTAAACATAAGACCTAAAACCATAAAAACCCTAGAAGAAAACCTAGGAAATACCATTCAGGACATAGGCATAGGCAAAGACGTCATGACCAAAACACCAAAAGCAATGGCAACAAAAGCCAAAATTGACAAATGGGATCTAATTAAACTGAAGAGCTTCTGCAGAGCAAAAGAAACTATCATCAGGGTGAACAGGCAACCTACAGAATGGGAGAAAATTTTTGCGATCTATCTGATAAAGGGCTAATATCCAGAATCTACGTGGAAGTTAAGCAAATTTACAAGAACAAAACAACCCCATCAAAAAGTGGGTGAAGGATATGAACAGACACTTCTCAAAAGAAGACATTTATGCAGCCAACAAACGTGAAAAAAATCTCATCATCACTGGTCATTAGAGAAACACAAATCAAAACCACAATGAGATACCATCTCACGCCAGTTAGAATGGCGATCATTAAAAAGTCAGGAAACAACAGATGCTGGAGAGGATGTGGAGAAATACGAATGTTTTTACACTGTTAGTGGGAGTGTAAATTAGTTCAACCATTGTGGAAGACAGTGTGGTGACTCCTCAATGATCTAGAACCAGAAATACCATTTCATCCAGCAATCCCATTACTGGGTATACACCCAAAGGATTATAAATCATTCTACTATAAAGACACATGCACACGTATGTTTATTTTGTCACTGTTCACAATAGCAAAAACTTGGAACTAACCCAAATGACCATTGATGATATACTGGATAAAGAAAATGTGGCACATATATATCATGGAATACTATGCAGTCATAAAAAAGGATAAGTTCATGTCCTTTGCAGGGACATGGATGAAACTGGAAACCATCATTCTCAGCAAACTAACACAAGAACAGAAAACCAAACACTGCATGTTCTCCCTCATAAGTGGGAATTGAACAGTGAGAACACATGGACACAGGGAGGGGAACATCACACACCGGGGCCTGTTGGGGGGTCAGGGCTAAGGGAGGGATAGCATTAGGAGAAACACCTAATGTAGATGAAGGGTTGATGGGTGCAGCAAACCACCATGGCACGTGTATACCTATGTAACAAACCTGCACGTTCTGAGCATGTATCCCAGAACTTAAAGTATAATTAAAAAAAAAAAAAAATTGAAAACTCCATGAGGATAAACTTCTAATTCTCTCTTCCCAAATGAAAAAAAAAAAAAATTGTTGTGTTCATGCAGTGTATTGACTGACAGTCAAACTAACCTGAAAATTTCTAAATAAGACACCATTCTTAGCTAAGAAACAGGATATGGGAGACAGAATTACCTATGTAGTAAGTACAAGGTTTATTGCCTTTATAAGATATCATAGCAGGTTCAAGAATGTATTTGTAGGTTGAAATATTATAATCACTTGAATATTACAGTCCTGCATAATAAAATACTGACATATTTAGAAGGTAACATAAGTGCTCACCTGTCCTTGGGGAAAGGGTTTACTTTGCAGGCTTCCAGCAAAAATTTAACAACTTCAACATGACCTAAATCATCCCACCCCCAAAAACAAGAGCAGATTTTAGTACTAAGTAGAAATTAAATCCGGAAAGAAAATAGATAGTAGTAGTTCCTGTATTACCCTCTGCAGCAGCTACATGCAGTGCTGTTCTAGAATCATAGTCCCGCTGTTCCATGTCCATCGCTGACAAAGCAAATCTGAAAATGTGTAAGCACAGCTATTTATTATATATAAAGCAAATTTAATTCACACTTGTAACATTCACTCCATCAGTTCATTTAAGGCCCTGTCAGACAGGTGCCATCTTTCATCAGGCTCATTAATGAGAACTACCAACCTTACTGACCAGTACACAGGTGTTTTGGGTAAATGCCACTTCACCTCTCTTCCTCAGCATGGCTTTTTTTAGGTAAGATTAAATGTTAAACATCTCTCACAGAATTAAACTTTATTACATTACTGTTCAAAACTCAAGAATTATGGCACAACTGTACCAAGGTTTATGTCTCAGAAGGGCAAGAAACTAATCCCTATAATAAAGTTACATGTTTTTACTAGGACTCCCATTCTTAAATATTTCACAGTCTACTAGTACTCGTCAGACTTTAAGACAAGGGGGAAAGCATAGACATTTCTCCACTTTGAAAATCAGTTGTTTGAGGTATTAATGGGAGAAAACAAAAGGAAAAAGGAAACAAGTTACAACTCTATACAAAAGACCTTAGGTATACAGCAGTACATGGCCTTACTAGTCCTGATGATCTGCCAGACACCAAACCCCCTAGCTGCTTCCCACACACACACACCCCCCAAAGACTGGGAATGGAGGGTAGACAGGGAGTGAGAAGGCACTGTCCAATTCCAGTAAGCCACTGATACTAATTAGCCAGATTAGCTGAACAGTTACTACTTGGGGAAACAGATACCGTCTTTTTTATAGGAGGCAGAAAAGGACAAGTTTGGAAAGCAGGCCATAGGCACTGGAAGTGCCTATTTAATAAAAATTTTGTTAGGGTCATTTTTATCAAAGGGAAAGAGAAGTGAGACTTTAACCTTAAAATGTCTGCTCGCCCAGAAGCAACTTCATAAATATCTGTAAAGTGCATGCTAATCCATCCTATAAACATACCTTCGAAGTGCAGACACATCTCCAGTATATGCAGCAAACAAAAGATTTATCACTGACTTTACCTGTGAAGAAAAGAAAGTTTAGGCATCCATAGGGGAAAACAAACACATACAACGTCCACCTGTCACTGGTAAGTGATTTCCATGCACTTTGAACACTTCACCTGAGTCATGTGCAAGAAGTTATCTCAAGGACACTTCCATAGCCAAAAGAACCCACATGTGTGATATTTTCTTCTTTTAACAGTGGATTGTGAGGGAAAATTCAATAATAAAGATAAGATACATGAGGGAAGGAATGGAATAATATCACTTGGCACAAAAGAATGGAATTTTGTGAAACTCATATAGTTGGAGCAACTGAAAATTGTTTAGAAGCCTTCCCATTTTGTATGTCTCAATATTGTGAGGAAGTTTGTATGCTGATACAATTCACATTATTAAAAATTAAATCATGCTATATAAATGTCTAATCCCTGCCAACAATCACTGTCCTCACCAATCACTGGCTTCTTTGCAAATCTTGAGAGAGAACATTCAGTGTTAACTGTCATCTTAAACTTCACTGGAAAGACAGCCTTCAGTTCAATGCCCAGGTGGTACAAATTGGGTCATTCTCAGAACTTACGACACTGCTGTGTTTAAAAGGTTTCTCAGCTCCAAAATATTAAGTCACCTCTATTAAGTGCTCCAAGATTTCAAAGTGTATCTACCTTTGACAGTTACCCACTTTCCTTTTCTTATAGTTAAGAGGAAAAGTCTAGTTATCTGAAAAGCCATTGGATTTTGGTCTGCTTTCATAAAGACTTTATCAATCCCTATCTATGAGAAATTATTGATCACAGAATATTTGTAAATACTTCATAAATTCCCCCATTTTGTCTTACACTTTGCAACTTCAACATTCATATTGATGACTCAACAGATGCTGCACTCAGTGGTAGAAAACAAGTTTAACTGGAGGAATGGAAAGTTACCCAGCTCTCCACCAACAAAGCCACAGCCCTGAACTGTGCTTCAAGATCTTAACCCAGACATTCTCCCTTTCCAGTATGGCTTCCCCCTTCCAAAACCCATGAACTTTCCAAATTAACTGGAACTGACCATTGCTGCAGTTCTGTCATTCAGCATTTTCAAAGTGTAATTTGCAGAAACTAGTCCATAAGATGGTCCATGAAAATAAGGATCCTGTGGCTGGATATGATCTTAAAATATTAAATCCCCCTCTTGGAGATTCATGAGCATATAAAAGGCTCTGTAAAGGTCTACAGTACAGGAACCTAACTAGCTGAGCACACCCCCAAAATACTACTATTTGTGTTGATATCACTTCAAAAAACTTTACCTTTAGTCCTTTAGCTTCCCTCCCAGCCATCCTTTTCCACTCCTGACCAGAGTCCAGAACAGTTTTCTCAATGGGGAATGGGGGTGGAACAAAGAACTAAAGAGTATCACCCAGAATGTTCTAAAAGCATACATAAACATCTCTCCCATTTCTTGTTGTCCTACTCCTACACCTCAATCTGATACATTTTAGGGAAAGGAGGTAAATGCATAGAGTTTGTTTTTTATAGAGATGGGGTCTCACTATGTTGGCCAGGCTGGTCTTGAACTCCTGGTCTTAAGCAGTCCTTCTGCCTTGCCCTCCCAAACTATTGGGATTACAGGCATGAGCCACCATGCTCAGCCCATAATTTTGTTTAGTCTCCAGGTGACTTTGATATGCACTCTTCTGGGTTATAAACCACTGTTTCAGATGCCCTTAATGTCTTTCTTTTTTAGTGGGGTCAACTCTGAATTCTCAATTCCCTTTTTGCTCTTGGGCCACAGATTACCGACTGGCTATTACGGACTATTCTCCATATTTCCACCTGGTCTCTCATTACTGCTTGACAATTTTTTTTTTTTTTCTTGTTGTTTCCTGCCACACTTTCTTCAGGCCTTTAATACCAGCAGAGACCCCTAAAAACAGACAGAAGATCCTAACTACAACTTTGCTGAAAAGATAAAAAACTGTTTTCATCGCTCAAAGTAAAAAGCTTCATTTCTGAGACTCACTTTTTATCCATTCCTTCACACACTTATCCTCCAGATGCCCTGCTCTTGTTCCCTCACTGATCCCCTTTGTTTCTAGCATCTTTAACTTTTCCTCCTTCATTAGTTCCCTGTTTACCTTAAAACAGACACAATTTCATCCTATTTTTAAAAACCAACACTTGACCCTATTGTTCTCCCTCAGCACGTATTTCCTGAAAGTATATTTTTAATTCCCTGAAAATTACCTTCACACTCATTGTTACCTCTAAATAGTGCTCTCCAAAGCTCCAGCAGCTTCCTAAGCCCCGATTCCTTCAGCTCTCCCCAGCACCCTCCACCCTCTCACGACTTGCCTTCCATGCTGCTCCATCACCCTGATCTTCCTCCTGTTTGCTGCTTTGCAGATTCATTACCCACTTTCCACTGCCAAATAATACTCCCAAGGCAGTCCAATCTTCTTGTTTTTCAATATAATGTCCTTCAAATGATTCATCTATCCCTCTGGGCAGACTGATTTCCCCATCTTTAATCTAAATCTTTGCTCCTAAGCTCCAGTCCTACAGCTCCACTTGATAGTCATTTCAAACTCAAAAACAGCAACAACCCTGCCGGCTTCCTACCCTGGCTCCAGTTCACAACTGTCCGTCCGCCTACTTGACATTGCTTCCAGGACTTTTAATTGGCATCTCAGACTTATACCCAAAATGGAATTTGCTTTGCTGTGTCTTCTGCCACTCACAGTCAGCTCCTCTTCTAGTCCCCCCAGTTTGGGGATGACACAACAATTCATCCACTTGCTCAGGCCACAAACTCAGGAGTCATCCAGTGCTGCTGCATTCACTTATACAGGTTGAGTCCTTCACAAGGATGCCTGGCCACAGGGCCAACATGGGTTACCAGCCCACACTCTTCCCACCAAGGTGTGCTAGCACCCAGGTACATGTGCTGGGAGGAAGGGAGCTTCTTTACCCAGTGGTGCTGAGAAGTGGTACTTCTGCTTCTGGCCAGAGACAGAATTAGCTTTCTCTAATTCAGACAAATTCACCATACAGACTGTGGGGGGGTATTCCTTGATTCTGTTTCTCTCACAGTCCACATCTAGCTCATCAATAAATCCTCTTCGCTTTACCTGCAAAATATGTTTGGAATCCTATCACTTCTCACCACCTCTAGCATTGTTGCCTTAGGCCTCATCTGAGTCACCACCTTATCACCTCTGCTGTCAGAGGGATCTTTTAAAAATATCAAGGAACTCCCGTGCCTTTCCATCATATCTGAAGTAAAATTAAACTCTTTACCATGGCTTTCAGGACCCTGAAGGCTCTATTCCTGGTTACATTGCACGTTATCACTCCTACCAGTCTTCCTTTTCCAGCTCTACTCCAGTGAGAATGTCTTGCTGGTCTCAGGCACTCAAGCCTACAACTGGCTGCTAAAGATGCTCTTTCCCCAGGCAGTCAGGAGGCCCCCTCTCTCCCTCCCTTTGGGTAGGTCTCCACTCTACCCAAAGTTCTCTCAAGACTAAAATACTCCCTTCTTTTCATCACTGCCTTATCCCTTACCTTGCTTTTCCCCTTCATATATATATTGTAAACTATACAGTTTTTAACTATATTTATGTTATATATAATTATATATAACTATATATAAAGTATATATATTTTTATATATACTTGTTTTCTGTCTCTCATTAAATGTAGGCTCCATGTGGTGGGCAGAGACCACTTGTCTTTCTGTTCCCCACCGTAAACTCAGTGTCTACCACACATAATAGGTGCTCATTAAATATCTATTGACTAAGTGAATATTCTCCCTTAAAGCATCAAATACTCAATTTTGGGTATTAAATTGTAAAATTAATTCCTCTATCATCCCCCAACCCGGTTTTTTTTTTTTTTTTTTTTTTTTTTTTTTTTTTTTTAAAGACAAGGTCTCACTCTGTCACCCAGGCTGGAGTGCAGTGGCAGGATCTCGGCTCATGCAACCTTCGCCTCCTCAGTTCAAGTGATTCTCCCACCTCGGCCTCTGGAGTAGCTGGGATTACAGGCATGTGCCACCACTAATCTAATTTTTGTAGTTTTTGGTAGAGACGGCGTTTCAGGTTGGCCAGGCTGGTCCCAAACTCCCAACCTCAAACAATCCGCCTGCCTCAGACTCTCAAAGTGTTGGGATTATAGGTATGAGCCCCTGCACCCAGCCCATCTCCCTTAACTTTTACATCTTTGAATATCATTACAAGATTTATTCAATCGTAACTGGTGCCTCTGCTTCTGGTCTTTCTTCCACCCTCCAAAACCTCTCCACATACTTCTAATCATATTCTCAAAACATTGCTCTAATCACTAAAGGTTTCTAAAGCAGGGGAGTTATCAAGAAACCCAAAATCATTCCTGATAACGTTTAAGTTCTTTAGCCTTGTATTCAAGGTTCTTCAGTCCAGCTAACTTAATTTTTCTTCTCAACCTCAATAGAGCAAAATTGGTCTGTCTTACTGCCCTTGTTTTTGTCTTGGTGTCTATGCTCTTTAAGAACACCCAGATTCCTAATCAAATCCTTCCATTCCCTCAAAGACTAGCCTGAAAGTCCCTTCCTTGCTGCCAGTTTTCCCCAGGCCATCCCAGCCCAGCATTATCTATGTAGCTTATTGCCAGCTGCCCACACAGTGCCCTGTGACAGCATGTGCCAGGGACAGTCAATTAGATACCTCCACTCCCACCACAACCCCGGGTCTACCTCCTGCTTCCTCCCACAGTGCGTACTATTCTCCTGAAATCATTTTCCCCACCCATTTCTCATGGATATGTTATTCTTACCCATTCCTATGAACTCTGCTCCAATCTCTTAAATCAAAAGTAATCTCTGTCTACCTTTACCTCACTATGGCACTGTAACACATGACCACATGGAGCATTTGTGTGTCTTACTTCCCCTACCACTAAGAAAAATCCAGATTCCCCTGTATATACTATTAATATAGTAATTACCCATAGTTCTTATTTTTAAAACTATGTTGGTACTTCTAAGCA